ACGCTTCGCTATCTGTGGCGTAATGTTCAACAGATGGCGCTTTTTATTATTTCATATGAAAATGAATACTATGGGAGCTGTCCCATGCTTCGCCATCTGTGGAGTAACATCCAACAGATGGCGCTACATTTTTGTTTCATATGAATACGAATACTTTAGAAACGTAGGACTCCACCCTCACCCGCACTTGGGGTCACGCAGGTAGTTAATAACTTGAGATCAAGCTAAATCCGGGAGAGTTATCAAGAATGTTTAAAACTGTAGCGCCATCTGTTGAACATTACTCCACAAGTGATAACATTCTTCAGAGGAGCGGTTTGCACAGCCCAATATTATACTAAGTTCCTACATTTTAATTACATTTTCCGGGCTTTCCATGAGGTTTAAGTCCACAGTTGGCGCTACAGTTAATAACTAAAACGTCATGGAAAGCCACGAAGTATAGTTAAACTGTAGCATCTTAGTATCATATTGGGCTGTGCAAATAGGTCCGCTGAAGAATTCATTTTACATGGTAGGGCTGGAAGTACTGAGGATTGAAGCGTGGGGCATCACCCTCACCCACCTTTATAATCATGCTGAAAGTTAATCACTTGTAGATTAATGTTCAACAGATGGCGCTACTGTTTTAAATATTTTCTTGTTAATTCTCCGGGATTTAGCTTGATCTCAAGCACCGAGTGCGTGTGAGGGTGGAGTCCTACGTTTCCAAAGTATTCGTATTCATATGAAATAATAAAAAGCGCCATCTGTTGAACATTACTCCACAGATGGCGAAGCGTGGGACCGTACCCACGACCGATCTGGAGGTCACGCAGAAAGTTAATAACTTGAGACCCAGTTAAATCATCGAGAGTTAAGCAAGTATGAAATAAAAGTGCAGCGCCATCTGTTGAACAGATGTTGTAATGTTCAACAGATGGCGCTGACAGTTTTATTTATACTTTCTTAAGTCTCGCTGAATTAGCATGGTCTGAAGTGAATAACTTGAAGTAACCCCCAAAGGGCGGGCGG